TCGGTGCCTATAGCTCAACCTGCTAAGGCGCCAGCCACGTACACCTAAGGTGGCGGGTTCGAATCCCCAGCCCGGACCCACCAAACAACAATGATGGCTGCAACCAAAAAACTAGCCGGGCGTTGTGGCGGGCGCCTGTAGTCCCTATAGTCCCAGCTACTTGGGAGGCGGAGGCAGGAGACTCGCTTGAGCCCAGGAGTTGGAGGTTGCTGTGAGCTGTAATGCCACGACACTCTACCCAGGGGGACAGCTTGAGGCTCTGTCTCAAAAAAAAAAGATCAAGGTGTGCAGATTTTGTTCTTGCAAGGGCTCATTTCTTGGCTTGTAGAGGGCTGCTTTTTGCTGTGTCCTCTGCTGAGAGAGAGAGAGCAGGGGAGGGGAGAGGGGGAGAGGGGGAGAGAGGGAGAGGGGGAGAGGGGAAGAGAGGGAGAGAGGAAGAGAGGAGAGAGAGAGAGACTCTCTGTTTTCTTCTTATAAAGAAACTAACCCTATCATGAGAAGCCCACCCTGACAACCTCATCTAAACCTAATTACCTCCCAAAAGCCTTACCTCCAATCGCCAGCACGTTGGGAGACAGAGCTTCAACATATGAATTTCAGGGGACACAGCATCACGTCCATAACGATGTGGACATCATCTCCACACTCTTGATTATTTCCTTATTCTCTCCTCCATGGAGCCCACTGCTTGGTCTCCTCTCCTTCTACTCTACCTGGTCTAAGCAGTAATGGGAAGGTTGGAAAGCAGAGCTTTCAATAGGCTAAGCCAGTGTCCTCTTGCTGTGGAGATCACCTGGCTGATGAGTAAGGAATAAGGCCGATTGTGGTAAAATGTTTCCAGGTGCAGGCTGAGAGCAAGGTCGAGGAGCCAGGTGTTCCTAGTTGCTAATGGGGGCCACAGAGCTTCACAGAGTCTGGCCAGGAATGAGAGACTGTGAGCTCTCCCACATTCCTGTGAGTATAGAGCAAAGTCACACTCAGTACATCTGATGTTACTCTCTCCCTCCCCCAACCAATATTCATCTCCCTTTAATAGTGGTGCACATGGCTACTTTTGCTCCTAGTTTATCCCAAATACAAACTGCTGCTCTCAATTGATTTAAACCAACTTTATTATCTTTATCTTTCACAGACAATTTTTACTTTTAAGATTTTAAGAGGGGAGAGAAATAGTGTCATAGAGCAGTGGTTGGTCTCCAAACTTTTTGGTTGGCACCAAGGATGGGATTCATGGAAGACAATTTTTTCATAGATGATGTGGGAGTGGGGTGGGACAGGAGGTAGAGCTCAGGTGGTGATGCTGTGCAGCCCAGTTCTGAACAGGTCACGGCTGGTACTGCTCTAGGGCCCAGGGGCTGGGGATGGCAGGCACAGAGGGTGACAGTGAAAGGCAGAGAGAGACGGAGACAGAGAAGGGAGGAGGAGAAGGAGGAGAAGTACTGGTGAGGAAGGGAGGGGGAGTGAGAGTGGGAGAGGGGAAGAGAAGAGGGAATAGAAGAGGGATGGAGAATGAAGGGCGTGTATAGGAAAGAGGGAAAGTTGGATGTCTACAGCCCTTACTTCCTTCAGCTTCCCACCCCCCAAACTGCTGGTAAGGTAAGGAGGGAGAGGTTTTCAGTTGATAAAAAAGCTTACAATTAATTTTAAAAGGATGTCATGGTAAGAACATGTTAGGGATCATTGACTTTTTACTGTCTTTTCTGGTGAGAAAGGTAAAAGAAAGATAAATATTCATTCTCTCTCTTGTTAAATGAAATTTATGGGTGTCCACTGATTTGGACCGAGCTTCTGCACTAGGCCCCCAAGAGACCCAAATAGTCATCATGTTAAAGTTCATGCTACCAAAGTGAAGCTCATCCATCTGTGAGTGGTTTTCCAGACCTGAAAACTCAGGAGAGAGGTCATGCCCTTTCCCCTTATTTCTTCTTCATGGCTGAAACATGGATGTAAGGGCCGGAGATTCAGCAGCCACAGGGTAGCCATAACATAAGACATACACGGAGATAAAAGTTGAAACTCTAAAGATGGCAAAGAGAAGATAGAAAAAGGGCCTGGATCTTTCCATATGGCATCACCCAGCTTATGCTAACTATTGAATGCCTGCCTGCTGTCTCCTTTTTATGGAAAATGAATGAAACGTGAAGAGTCTGTACAGTCTGGTTTTCTGTTGTCAGCATCCCAACTCATTCCTTACCGATACAGCCACCAAACCTATTTCCTCTTTAAGTCTTACTCATCTCAGTAAAGTAGCTTTACAATTGCCTCTGTTGCTCTAGCCGGAATTAAGGTGGCTGTCCTACAGCCACCCCCCCCCCCAATATTACCCTCCTCCACCAACACACACATGGAGTCCATCAGTAAGTTCAGTGCCATTTCCTTGAAGAACATGCCAATAATGTCAAGGTCAGTATCTGCACTGCAGCCATTCCACCCTAACTTAAATGGGAAAGCTTCCAAACTGTCCTACCCACTTCCACTTTGCCTCATTGAAGTCAAGTCCTAGCCTAAAACTCTTTACTGATTCCAGTTGTCCTGTAATAGAGTCACAGCCACAGACCAAGACCTATGAGTAGCTGTATGTTCTACTGTGCCCTCCTTCACCAACCCCCAGGGGTTAGTCCAACCCTCTCCCTGGAAGCTCCAGACATAGTGTCTTTTTTTTTTTTTTTTTGCAGTTTGGCCAGAGTCAGATTTGAACCTGCCACCTCCAGCCTATGGGGCTGGCACTCTACTCCTTGAGCCACAGGCACTGCCCCATAGTGTCTTTCTGTAAGTTCCCAGAGCACAGTAAATTTGATTATGCTTTAGGTTCTTTTTACATGCTTAATACTCAGCCCATCTCACTTATACAGATAGCTCCTTTTTAAACCTTCAAGTCTCAGCTTAAATTATCCTTACAGAGGGTTCCACTGACCATCCTATTAAAGTTAAAATCCTCTTCCCCACCCAATCCCAATGCTCTCAAAACCAGAAAGTTTTTGTTTGTTTGTTTGTTACATCTACTACCATATTTATGTGTATCATACAGAGTCCACTTGGGGAAATAGAAACCAAGTGCTGGTTTTAACAGAGGTAATTTCATATAGAAAATCAGCTGAATGGGTATTGACAAACAAAAAGGGGGCACAGTACCACAGAGATAGTTACTGTGGGAAGCAGCTGCCATAGGTAGGGTGGGGTTATCAGAACCCAGAGGGGAAGCCCCGCAGAGCTGGGGCTTAGGACTCTCAGGCTGCCTGGTGTCTCCTACTGGTACCTGGAGAGCTTGGAGGATGGCCTGGGAGCTGGTTCTCTGGCGTCTAAGGCAGGGTGACACCTGGCTCATGCTGGCACTTCTGATGAGATATAATTAGGGTGATCAGATTTTAACATCTGTAAGGTGGGACAACATGGCCGGGGGGCGGGGCAGGGCAGAGCCTGACAGCAGTGCAAACTTTGATAAGCAGTTCTCGATAATCATTTCTCAGCAATTGTTTGTTATTATTACAGTTTAACATTATAAAATTAACAAAAATAATATAAAACTCAAATTCTGGCAAAATTGCCACATGGCAGCTGAAAACCGTATATTCCCTTCATGTTCTCCCTCCCATTCATGCATTCTTTCCAAAAATCGGGACTTTTTAAAAACGCAGCAGGACATGGGACAAATTGTTCAAAAGCGGGACGTCTGGTCACCCTAGATATAATGAAGCTAGGTCTGGGCGTGAGGGAAGAAACTTAGAAGACTGTAAATAGCCAGGGATCCTGGAGGAAATTACATGGCAACAGTACCTGCTGGGGACAAAGAGGACAAAAAGAAACAAGTTCCTTTTCCTCCCTATTGTCTTCCGTTTTTCCTTAGCGCCCCCTGTTGGTAGATCCTAAATAGGTCCATCTAGCAAAAGAGAAATGTTCGCAGTTTCAGGCGAAGCAATTCAGAGACCTATACAAAAGAGTGGATTTGGAGATGATTTACCATAGCTTCATAAAATACATAGTATTTATTTGTTTGTTTATTTGTTTATTGCCTTTTTCTTGCTACTGGATGGTATGTGTTCAGGACTATGTCTTTTTGCTTTCGTACCTCCCCGGCCCCATGTGCCCGGCACGATAACAATCAGATACTCAATAAGTATTCCTTGGACGGATGAATAATGGATGGATTTATTAGATTTTTATCAAAACCACTTAGGAAAAGGTACAATTCAATTCTTGTCAATTGAATAAGTATTGTGCCTCATGTGATGTTGTAGGCATGGGGCTAAGAATCTGACTTTCTCTTTAGCTGGCAATCTAAGGCATTCTCATATGAAGTTAAGTAATAAAATGTCATTCAGTAAAAATCATATGTTTAAATGCCTGAAGAATTCAGGAGGTAGCAAAACGTACAGGATAACAGAAAAGAAGAAAAAGTAAGTGTAGGTTCGGAATGATTCAGAACACTTGTGGAAGAAGCCACACTCCGAGGCAGGCTCAAGAGGAGGCAGGCAGCCGAAACTCTGGAGGGGGGATGACTTCAGCAGGTTTCAGGATAATTCTGATGGAGAAGTGCTGAAATAGTAGAACTCACTGGGAAAGTAAATTGGAACCAACTGTGGAGAATTATGAATTCTGGAATTATAATCTTAATTATGTCTTGTGCAAAGATGGGATATTAAAAGGTTTTAAGTAATATAGTCATATGGACGTTTTTCAGAAGATAAATCTGTATCATGGGAAACTGATTAAGTAGAGAGAAAGTAGAGATGGGAAGACCAGTGAGGACACTGACAATAATTCTGAGCCAGAAAAAGACAGTGAAGGTAGAAATAAAAGAAAGTGCCAACAGGTAACAGTTAGAAGGAAGAATCAATATGCATCATGCAGCTGTCATCCAGGGCAAGGAAGGTGGGAGGAGGCTTAGAATGAATCCCACAGTGATACACACAGAAAGAATTTAGAAAGGTGGCAACAGAGAACAGACCATCTACTTTCATCAGAACTCGATTAATAATGGCATCATGCAATAAAGGTCACAGTGAACATTATCCTCTAATAACAACACTCGCTATTTTGAGAACCCAGTATTAATCTGGAAGAATGTATATATCTTCATCTTGAGGAACTTGAGAAGTGCTAGGCTTCTGGAAGTTGTAATACTCAGAGGATGTCTCATTTCCATAGATATGGTCCTGGAAGTTAGACTGCCGAGTGTTTTCATACAGTTCCTTGTCGGTTTCTTCCATAGCCTTGGGAGGACCTGTTTGCACATTTTCATAGTTCTCTTGGATGTTATTTCCCTCAACGGTGGAGCTGCACCTTTGGGTTTCAACTGAGGTGTTATGCTTTAAGCCAAAAATGCGAGGACTCAAGATGGATGTTTTGGTATAGTCTTTTTTCTTGCTGCTTCTTCTTTGCAAAACCTTTGGTAAAGTAAATCGCATGCTATCGTTGTGTTTCCAGTGCCAAACACACCCAATTCCACAAATCATCACCAGTAAAAGAAGGGCAGCTCCTACAAGAATAGCTGCTGAAGTATTTCCATAGCTCTTCAGCATCTTTGCACAAATAGTACTCTTTAGCAGTTGGGTGTTCCCCTTAGTAAATTGACAGGTGCAGACCAATGTAATTCCTTGCAACCTAATATTGTTCCAGAATGAGTTTGAAATCTCTTTGAGGCATTTCTTTTGCAGATCTGGAAGAACTTTATTGGTAATGTCCTGCTGCAGTTGAAGGAGAGACTGTATAAACTTATCCTTGGTAGAGGGCTGTTGGAGCCCTCTTGGTAGAGGGCTGTAGAGTGACGCTGTTCACACTACAACTGTTAATGTGTCATTGCACCATATCAGGACTGTTTCATTCCATTCCACTTCCCTTTCTGTCAATGAATCACAAAATGAAGCAGAAATGAGTGGAAGATAATAGTAAACTAGAAAAGTCAAGAAAAGGGAGGTTGAATGATCTGCCATTCAGAAACCTGCTATAAATTAAAAATATATTAATTGCATATTTATTTTATAGCATAACCAAAAATCTACAGTTTTTACCAATGCATTAAACATGAGCATTTAACGACTTCTTTTTTTTTTCAAGACAGAAACTAACTGTTGTGAACAAAGAAAAAGTGTTAGAAGAACCTGTCCGTGCCCAATAAAACCAAGTGGTTTTATTACTTAGATCTCAACATGGTTTTGACAGTAAGAATAACAATTTCCAAGGGAAAGGTAATGTTCTGAATGCCATAGAACTAATGGGACAAGAGCATGCACTTGCAACCTCTCTGTTTCCTGTCGCCTCCTCTGGGAAGCCTTGCCTGTCCTTCTTTGGAGTGGACAGGGCCAATGTCTTTTCCTTCAATGCTCCTTCCTCTGGATCCCATATCAATGAGTCTATGCTCTATTATAACGTAATACCCTCAATGATGAGGGAATTGTATGTCTTCTTACTTGATTAAGTGGTGGGCAAGGATGGAGTTTTTCATCTTTAGGAAAAACCTTTATTTTTCAAGGATAATATAATCCCTATCACAGAAAAAGGCATTCAATCAATATTTATTGAATGAAGAATTAAATTTTAAAATGACTCCAGAGTTTAGCATCTAATTTCTTAAGACTCTAGTTTAAAACTCAAGATAATATCTTTTCAAAGGTATAATTTATGCTTAAAACATGAAAAGTAAAACAAAATATTTTTGGAAGCCTTCCATTTACAGGTCTTTTCACAACTTTCAGTGTCTTTCATTCAATAATGAATGAGTTTTAGATTATTTTCTGTTCATGTTTTAAAATGAAAAGGAGGAGGAAAGGAGAATTGTTCAACTAGGCTAAATATGCTATTATGATTTTATTAACAAAATATATACAGTAATAGTATATTTTCAGTCTAGACACAGAAATAGTTACAACCGACAGTGTTAAGGGTGCTTGTGGGATGGTTATTATCATCTACTGAATGTTGTCTTCAATAATATTCAGTTAAAAGCTTATTTTGGGTGAACTTCTAGCCTATATGGATAATCTCATTTAATCCTATAGCTGCCATATGAAGTAGGTACAATTGCTGTTCTCATGTTATAAATGAGAAGAGAGGATTAAAGTGGTTAAATAACTGTCTCAATAAGTAAAATATGATTGAATGAGGATTCCAGTAAAATTTGCCTTAAGATATTATTATCTGTTAAAATATCTGTAAATGGCTATCAGGTGTATCCATCACTAAATTTGTATAGCTTGATTGGCTCTGCGGTTCTTGAGGGCTGGAAACCATATATAGTCTATCTTTGTATTACCAGCAGCAGCCCCAAACACAGAATAACTAACTGGTGAAATGTTTTTTAATAAATGGAGCAATCTGCTTGCAGAATAATGATAGTAATGAAAGAGAGGGGGAAAAAAAACCAGCGGAGTGGTACCTTCTCTTGCTGAGTATTCATGTACAATAATACACTTTTATAAATTTGTTCAAGGTTTTAAAAGATCAATGTGCAAATTTTCAGTCTGGAATTTCACATGACCAAGTGAATTGAGTTATTCAAATTAACCAAATTCAAGTTAACTTATAAAATGTGTTTGATAAAAATATTGGCACAGACACTTCGGATCTAGACACCTTTTAATTTCCTCAAAACTTTTGGGAGTAAGGCTGGGGTTGAAAACTGTATCATCTACCCCATAGATTTACGATCTGTAGGGCTCTTCCTCTAAAAGGCAGACAGTGTGCTTGCATTCCAGGGCAAAAGTTTGACAAATGACTTTAACCATGAGGACCTACTTCCTTTCTGCAATAGATTATATATGTGTGTGTGTGTGTGTGTGTGTGTGTTGTCAATTATTTCTGTAATTATATGCCAGAATATTTGAAATAAAATTTAAAAATAAATTTCAAATATTGATGGAAATTAATCAACTTTTTTAAAAGCGCTAGGCCTGCAGTGAAGCAAGGACGACAGTTGGAGAAGGCTAAGTAGGATCCCCTGAGCAACTGAGGATAAAGTTACACATTGTCTTTTTAGCTTCCAAGAGGAGAATTTACTTTTACTATCTGTACCATCCTCTGTGAAGGAGGCATTAAATGTTCAAATTGTTTATCTAAGAGGTGTTCAATGAGCTAAAGCCAAGAAAACATTTTATAGGAAAGGAAATACATCCTTTCCCTTTCTTTCTTCAAAATAACATCGTAGGAAAAATCCTGAGGGACACAAACACAGACCCACTGTAGCAAGAAAGGAGTATTTTGAACAGAGCCCTTCACATGTGGCTTAACACCTAAATAAGTTTCACCTTGTCCCATTTGAAATAAGATTCTGTTTTAATTTTGGAAAGCAGTTCCAACAGGTTACCTAATAATTAACCATTTTTCTTCAGTCATAAATTATGGATTACCTTTCAAGGCAGTTCATGGCTTTCTGTTTGGAAACAAGGTGACAGCATAGCAGAACCCTATACTTGTTAGCATATACACGCATAAGGAAACATTAACACTGTGCTCAGTTTGTAAATCAGCCCCCGCCCCGTGGCTCCCTAAAGCAATTTTTCTGAAAACCGAATTTGACAAGACAAAAAGTCATAGATTAAAGACAACAGTGGTTTTTACGGTTTTTCATGCCCAAACACCTTAAATCAAGTTTTTACTTACCTTCAGGTTGGTGTGCCAAGCCTCTCTCCTTTGTTCTTTTGGTTTATGTTTTAAACTTGCTTTGGTTAAGGACTTGTTCCTCTTTTTCACTCTGGCCAGTGACTTCCTTCTTAACATAACTCCTTCTTTCAGATTATTTAATACTTGCAAAGTTTCCTGGCTCTGGCGGAAGTTCTTATCAGATGCACCAGAAGCAAGATAAACGTCCTGAGCTTTGAATAAGGAAGTTTGGCCCTTTGTGTTTAATAAGTAACATTTGTCACCTGGGTCAGAGAATGGTCCATACAGCCTGGATGGGTTTTTATTTGAGCACATTTGCAACCCTCACTTTCACGTGCACTTCAAATTTTTTAGGAAGGAAATATTTTACGGGTAGTAACCCGTAGATCTTGTTTTGTTATTTGTTTGTGTGATTGCTAGAACGGTCCTCGCTTCAAATAGTATGTACCAATGCCCACAAGTTACAGCTATAGAAGTGAAACCGATGTCCCAATTTTGGTTCAGAAAATGTTAATATGCTTTTACAATTCTTAAATGGGCGTTTCCTAAAGTGTACTCTGTGGTTTGTTACTTGTGGGATAGGCTACTAGGCCTTCCATTGAGTAAATTTGGGAAACACTACTTACCTGAAGTTTCATGGGCATATCAGCATGTTAAAATCTCTCAGCAGCCCTACAGCAAGCAAGCAAAATACAGCTAAATGTGAAAGAAAAACTGGGTAATTTTGCTTAACAATAGTAGTCAGCAAGCTCTTAGCGCTTACTACATATATTAAGCTTTTTGTGTCATACTCAGTAATGCTTGATAACAAGGTGGGGGAGGGGGCTCTGTTATTAGTTCTCTTTTATAGGGTAGGAAATGGAAGCTCAGAGAAGTGAAATAATCACTTGTCTACCATGGCCTGCAGTCTGCCCCCAGCACCTGTGTCCTACACCACTATATTTCCTGCCTTTGTAGGTTGAATAACATATTTTTAACATAGAACTTAGTGACAATATCCTTCAGAGTCCAGCTGCATGAAATACAAAAGTAGGAGATGCTGAGTGAGACAGATTATGGATGAATCAGACAGATGGGAATAAAAAACCATGGAAATTTGCCTTTTAGGTTCTAATGGGACATTTTTAACCACAGAGGATTCACCCTGTATAAAGAGGTTTAAAAAAGAGGAGTTAGCTGCTGAAATATCTACTGGGCATTGGAAGAACAGCCCATATTATTGATCCATATTAAGCATCAATGTTGTTCTGGCCATTGTGCTAAGTGACAGAGATGTGATAGTGAGCAAGCTCCTTGTGGCAATGAGCCCAGTTAAGAGACTGTTGGCCACACAGATCATTTCAGATCATGTGATGAGGGCTAAGAAGGACATGGTTATGGACAGACAGGGACAGTACGGTCAAGGAAAAGAGGTATCCAGCTCACTGTGCTCAGGGAAGGGAAGACCTGAGCTAAGCTCCATAGAAGGGAAGAGTTAAGACAGAGTAGGAATGTTCTGGGAAAAGGTCCCCTACTGAAGGAAGTTATGAGGTTGTGATGCTATAAACGTGGTGTGCTTTGCAGTCTCATCAGCATATTTAACTGCAGTTTTAGCCACCTGTCTGAATGATACATATGCCTGCCTGTGCAGAAAACCTGCACATAATAAACTCAATAAAATATTTGCATATAATTATTTATTCCAGAAGTCAGAATAACTGGGTGTTCATCCAGATTTTTCCTTTTCAACTTAGGAAAGTGGTTTTAATACCTTATTGCTTAAGTTTTTCAATGGGTAGGTTAGGCCCAGTGGCTCTCACACCTGTAATCGTAGCACTCTGGGAGGCCGAGGCAGGTGGATTGCTTGAGCTCATGAGTTTGAGACCAGTCTGAGCAAAAGTAAGACCCCATTTCTAACATTAGCCAGGTATTGTGATCCTCTTCC